AAACACTCCAAAATCTTGTGGAAAGCCTTTCAAGAAAAGTGGAAGCTGTTCTAGCTGCAAAAGGGGGACTAACTCCATATTAAAGTATATGTATTTGAATACAATGTCATTTCCGTCCCTGTTGGTATTATGGTCAGGTGGCCGAATACTTTTGTCCATATAGTGTATATGTAAGACTGGAGTCAAATTCCTTGTTCAGTAAAAGTGATTCTGATATACTGAGTATACAAATACTGAAATGAATGTCTCAGTGTTTAATTGTTGAATGTAAATTCTCCCTAATTTGCTAAAACCTCTCTCTCCAGAACAAATTCATGACCTCTGTGTCATCAATGGGAACTACAGCCTTGCGTAAAGGGGTTTAATCAGTCTAATCTTTCTGAAAAAAGTCCTACATTTGAACATCATTTGATTTTCTTGAAAAAAGAAAATCATAAAACAATAACGTATCTAACAAATGTGTCAAAGGATACAGCTTTATAGCTCACATCAGTGCTTGAACTGGCATTGTCATTAGTTCTTATACCTTTCTATCTTGAGGGAATATGAATAAATAAATGAAGAAATACTTGAATACAGAATATATAAAACAGATCATTAAAAACTGAAAAAGCTACCATAGTTAGTTACCGTATCTATTTATTTATATCTTTATTATTATTTATTTATTTACTTTTGGGCCCTCATAGCCTACATGTCTCCGTCTCTGCAATCTGCACTTATAAGTGCATTGCTTTTAAATTTTTTGTTTTCACAGGACAGACAACTGTTTCTCACTTAATGTTGAAGTTGATAGAATTATGCCTGTAAAAAAATCCTTTTGTTAAATTTTTCCTATTGCTTTTCTGCTATTTTACATCATATAAATCACTTTACCCGTTGCTTACTTGTAAATAACAACCATATAACCTTTTTCATTTCTATTCAAGCACTGTTAATAGTCAACTGTATACATGATGATATTTAAAAATATATTACAGGGTGACGCCAAACTGTTTAAGCTGTTCAATAAGAACATGAAGCCAATAGTTAACCTGACTCATTCTGGCTAATTCACGGGAACAGGGCGTCAAAGTATTATCTCTAAAACTTCACCAACATGGTGTTAACTGTCAAGTCAGGAAAATAGACTCTTTTTTTGGTATTGCCTATGGAAGAGATCAGTTTATTGAGTTTCTTCCTCTTGAAATCAGTTATTTCTCCTGAGGATTCACCGTGACCGCCGGTTACGTACAACCTACGTATTTTATATCAAAATCCAATCATTTTGTCATTTCAAATTTGTCACGTGTGCTTATGTAAGCATGAACTAACTGATTTCAACCAATAATATCATGACATTCACCTGTCAATCAAGCTTCAACTTTTAGTGACAGAGCAAAGATTCATTCGTTAGCAACCTAACAATAGCATGGCTAGCTAACGGAGAGGAGTGTTTCTGGGGGCCGGGCCTCACTGATTAATGTACAAAAAAACAATTTTATCAGTGATTTAGGTGAAACTGGATCATATTTTATTGAAATAATATTGTCTGATTTTCCCTCTGACGTCCTTCAGCTGCTCTGCCTCAACTCCACTAACTACTAATGTAGCTGCTGTTAGCATGCAACCGAACGGGGCTCAGCAGCCTCACTGGGATCCAACCAAGTGTAAACCTATAGTGACGTCACCCACTGGTTTGTGGAGTAACGTTTTGAAGTTCAGCATTTTGGCCGCCGCCATGACAGTTAGACGGAGCAAATTGGCTGCGCAGTTTCAACTCGTCCGTAGTAGGAAACAATGCCGGCTCGCCTGGTCACACACAATCTCGTATAACGGCTAAACAGTGCACTAAAATATGTTTCTTAAAACAATTTTAAGTGAGAATAGGCGAAGCAGTAACAGAATCTAGCTTCGTATTTGATCAGCACTGCCTAGCAGTTTGATCTGAGTTTCGTGTGCGGCGCTGGATGGAATCGCTGAGAGTGACCTGTCAATCAAAAGGTAGCCCCGCCCCAAAAGCACAAGTGGCTTTATCGTCTATTTTATTAATTAAATTAGACCACGATTTACTAAATGAACATCTTAATGTATTGAAGATGTAAAACTAGCGAATGAGACCTTAAACTCATCAGGAAGCTGTTAACTGAGTAAAGGAAGTGTCAAGTCGGCTTATTCTCCATTAGAGTGAATGGGATCACTGTGTTATTGCAGCCAATGGAGCTTCTGTAAAGTGAAGCCAAAGCAGAAGTTTCATAAATCTGCATTTTTTCTGAGGGCCAGCAGGGGGAGTGCCATTGGCTGCAATAATAAATGCTGCTACGCACTCTTATGGAGAAATGACCTAACTTCTTGGTTTGCTTTCACAGATGCACAACCTCTCCAGCATGCCGTCTGCTGACCTGTAGACTGTCGTGCTGGTGTTACAAAATATCTCTCCATATTTTTCCAGTTAAACTGGAACTGAGTTGGTTGATTTGCCATTGTTTATCTTAGTTATTGCAAGCCCTCGTACAGTTTAGAAATAGTTTTGAGACCTTGGTCAGCTCTGTATGCTGAAATAAAAACTTTTAATACTCCAAACCCAGAATTTGATTTTTCCAGATCTTCTTTCTTAAATATTTTCTCAGTGTGACGTTTCAGCTGTAACAATTTGAAGAAATCTTGTCTAGCCAGGCTGTATTGGTCTCTCAAACCTTGGAAACTGAAAAAAGTCAAAATAAATAGTTAGACCCTGCTCCTGCCATTTGAAGCTTGTATCTAGCCTGTTTGGGGTGAATCCTGGTACGTAAGTCACCCAGCAGATTAATGCGTAGGGTTCCTGGGACCCAGGTTTTGAGTGAAAGATCAAACCATGGGTTGGGTTTTTCCCACAGGTGGTGTTTCAGTTCACTGTCTTCAATAATAATAGTCAGGGTTACATATATTTACTAAAGCTTAATCTGAGCTGTTTGATAGTAAGTTTTTAGGCAGGGGAGAGCCAAGCCTCTTTACTCCTAGAAAGTATCTAACTCTTGGTTTCTTTCCCTGCCACAGGAATCTTGAAATCAATTGTTAGGTCCTTTGGTATATGCACACCTACATACTTCATGCTGTCTACCTCCCTAATGGCATATTTGTCCCTAAAATGCTAACTGGTTATATAATTAAATGTTAAAAGCTAGCATTTATGGATATTCAATCTGTATCCTGATATCATTTTGCCTGATCAATTGACTCCAAGGTTCTGTAAAGAGTGTGAACAATAGGGGGCTGATAGGACATCTTAGTCGACAGCCACGCTCCAACTCAAAGAAGCCTGAAAGAAAACCATATATTTTTACTCTCGCTTCTTGTTTATTATAAAGAATTTGAATAGTCTCTATGATGAATGTTTTGTAAAATTGAAACTTGTGCAGTGTTTTATAAAGAAATGAGCAGTTTAGTGAGTCAGAAGGCTTCCACATCCAAGCCCATCATGGCTGCTCCTGGTTTATCTGGTGTGTCATGTGTGACTAATGTATTTTGTACAGAGAAGCTCGAACATCCAACTATAGGAACAAGAACAAAAGCAAATTTTTGTTGAATTTATGTTTCTTTTAATGTAAATTCATTCATTATTTTACTTTAACTGTGCATTCAACTTTCAAGGGTATTTTATTGTCATCTACAACACAATGTTGTATAATGAAAATTAGAGTTTCCTTTATGCTGCTTTTAAGAAACAATTTAGCAGGAGATATATTAGGACTCCCCCTTCCCCCTTCCCTCTGCAGAGTCCTCCTGCCCTGGGTCGTGCACTTCCTATGCCAGTTTGTGATGTTTCCAGTCAGGATGCTTTCCTCCTCTGTAAAAGTTAACAAGAACTAGGCGCAGGAATTTTGCTTTCTTAAGTTTACTTATGAAAAAAATGTGTGTATATGTATATATGCTTACAATTTATAAATTTTAAGAATATGTGCTTTCATTGTTTTGTTTTTAAGTTGCCAAAAAAAGATTATTCTTCAGCACTTAAAAAAAGTTTCTGCAATATAATGCTGAATAAGCATTTGAGTACTGTGTGTATGTGTGTGTGTTTGTATAGAACATAGAATGTTCTGGAGTTCCATACCTTTGATGAGTTCCGTTCCTTTGATGAGTTCTGTTCCTTTGATGTGACATTCTAGATCATTAGGATAAATTCTGTTGTACAGTCCAGTTCACTGAGCTTCAGAGATCACAGTGAACAGATCTACACAGACCTTCACCACGAGAACAACTGACTAGTTACTTCCACGGAGAACGTACTGGATCTCGACATGGATTACAAAGTAAGAAAATCTAGCCTTGAATCTCACACACACACACACACACACACACAATGAGAAATTGGTTGCTGTATGCTAAAATCTCAACAGTTAACTGTTTGCTTTTTAAAGGCAACACTTTCATTTTGACCATAAGCTCTTAAAATGCATCAAATTCTGACAGCTTGTAGATTTAATTAAAATGTGGTTTGTGAATTCTGCACAGCA